CCCCCCCCCACCCCCACCCCTTGGCCCTGGGCAGTGTCAGCTGCCTAGAATGACCTAGACTGGTGGGAACAGACCAACTTTCTCAGAATTACAAGGCGATAAGAATCAGGACCTGGCCTGGGGACATTAATTGCAGCCCTTAACTGCAGAGGTGTTGTCTCAAGGGGCCTCCATGGCACATTATCGCTGCCAGTTACCGCCTGGGGGCCTGGCTGTGACTTCATGGTTGCAGCCACGTATAGAAAGGCCTCCTACCTCCCCATCATTTGGGTGACCACCACATGCCCCATTCTGCTGAGCCCCAGATTTGTCACTGTGTAGACTATGTATCCAGGGATATGCCCTCGAGGTCAGTGTACCATGGACACCTTATAGGCTAGGACTGTGGTTTACTCTGTGCTCACAGCAGCACAAGTGGCCAGCCACCTTGAGAGGGTACCATTTGTCAGGGAGTCCCTGAGAGCAGAGCTGCTTCTGTGTACGTCCCCAAAGCTCTCTGTGACAAAGCCAACTATCCAGATGCCAGAACTAGGTAGGCTATGTGTTCCTTTCAAGAGAGCAAGTGAGGTGTGTGTGTGTGTGTGTGTGTGTGTGTGTGCGCGCGCGCGCGCGCACGTGTGCATGAGGGGTGTGTGTTGGAGGCAGTTTGTGAGTCCTGGGAACGGAATTCAAGTCCCCTGAAGAGCAGTGTATGCTCATAACCACTGAGCCATCTCTCCACTCCAACCTGTTTTCTTTTCCTTCTTTCTTCCTTTATCTCTTTCGTTCTCCCTTTTTCTTTCTTTCTTCAAGATGGGGTTTCTCTGTATTACAGCTTTGGCTGTCCTGGAACTCTCTCTGTAGACCTGACTGGCCTCGAACTCCTGTTTTCTTTTTTAATAAAAATTGTATTTATGTGTGGGTGCCCACTGATACCAACAGAGGGTACCAGAACCTCTGGAGCTGGAGTTATAGGTTAGTCAGGATATGGGTGTGCGGAACTGATCGGGTTCTCTACAAGAACAGCAAGTATTCTTAACCACAGAGCCGTCTCTCTTTCCTGTTTCCTTTTCTTTTTCCTGAAGTGCTTGGGGCACATAAGGGCTTGTATCATGTCTGTGAGAAATAATTCACAGTAGTGAAGACCTATACTCTTGCTATCCTGAGAGCATCCCTTAAGGATGGTGTCCTAGGGCCACTGTAAACACCCTGGGCCTCCTCTGTCTTGAATTTCCAAGTATACATCTCACTACAGTGAAATCACTTACAATGATTTCAACATAAACACCTATCACTTAGAGTAGTTTCTGGGGTTTCCTTAAAGATTTATTTTGTTATTTATGTGTATGCATGTGTCTCAGTATATGTGTGTACCTGTGGGGGGGTAGGATCTCAGAACTCCCAGAATTGGGGTTACTAGCAGTCGTGAGCCACCTGACTGGAGTCCTGGGGACTGAACTTGGGTCCTCTAGAGGAACAGCAAATGCTTTTAACCTCTAATCCATCTCTAACTCCAGGGTTTTTATTTCTGAAAATTTTATAAACATTGTTATTATACCGTGAGAAAACCTTCCCCCTGACACCAATCCATACAATAAGCCAGTGACCATCCAGATAGGAGATACCGTGCTTCACAGACCCTAGAGGGGATGGTGGGACTTTCCAGGGTGCCTGGCCTGCTTCTGAAGTCGGGGTGACATGAGCCATGGGATGGGCTGTGGCAGATTCTTGGTGTGGGCAAACAGACCTGGGGGCTGCTGGCTGTCCAGCTGCACAGGACTCATCCAGGAAGAAGGCAACCCTGTCACTGTGCCATGGCCTGACCCTAGAGCTGCCATCTGCTCAGTACTGATGGGCATCTGACATCAAGGACACAGAGGCCCCCACACAATGTGGCAACGAGGTATATAGGTCCCAGGCACAGGCCAGATGGGCCTCATTCAGTTCCAGCCTTTGACCATCTGATCCACGAAAGAAACATTGTCCATCCCCTCCTTCCTATGATCAGAGCAGCCCCTGCCTCCAGACTGCTCTCCATCCTGGGAGTCTTCCCGGACATGGCCCGAGTCTTGTCAGCCCTCAGGAGCTCCAGGGTACAGGCCATTGGAGGACCCAGAGCTATTGTGGGGGCATCCTCTGCAGTCTCTGCATATAGTTAAGGGGCCAGCCCTCTTTTGTCAGAACTATCACTCCTGTGGCTTTCGGGATGTCTGGTGGCAGCTGCTGGGGCCTCCTCATTCCCTCACTAAGATGCATCAGCAGAGCACCTGCTGGGGACAGGGGCAAGAGGGAGCTGAGGCCAGGCACTACAAGGCATGCCCTTGGCAAGTTCCTTCCCTCAGACCGCAGGATTTTCTACTCAGAAGTGAATGGTAGAGCTGAGAGCTTGTGCTGCTGCAACTGGAATCGGCTGGTGTCGCTTGCCCAAGGGCCCATGCTAAAGAGCCAAAAGCGCCACAGCTCTATCCCCTCTACCTCTCACAGTTCTTACTGAGCTCTTGCCCCCTTCTCATTGTAGGAAATTCTACTACATCACTCTACTGCGAGACCCAGTATCCCGCTACCTGAGTGAGTGGCGACATGTACAGCGTGGAGCCACGTGGAAGACCTCACTGCACATGTGTGATGGGCGCACACCAACTCCAGAGGAGCTGCCGCCCTGCTACGAGGGCACAGACTGGTCAGGCTGCACGCTGCAGGAGTTCATGGATTGCCCTTACAACCTGGCCAACAACCGGCAGGTGCGCATGCTGGCTGACCTCAGCCTGGTGGGCTGCTACAACCTGTCCTTCATCCCCGAGAGCAAGCGGGCCCAGCTGCTGCTGGAGAGCGCCAAGAAGAACCTGCGCGGCATGGCCTTCTTCGGCCTCACCGAGTTCCAACGCAAGACGCAGTACCTATTTGAGCGGACGTTCAACCTTAAGTTCATCCGGCCCTTCATGCAGTACAACAGCACGCGGGCGGGCGGTGTGGAGGTGGATGAGGACACCATCCGGCACATCGAGGAGCTCAACGACCTGGACATGCAGCTGTATGACTATGCCAAGGACCTCTTCCAGCAGCGTTACCAGTACAAGAGGCAGCTGGAGCGCAGGGAGCAGCGCCTGCGCAATCGCGAAGAGCGCCTCCTGCATCGCTCCAAGGAGGCACTGCCACGGGAGGACACGGAAGAGCCAGGTCGCGTGCCCACCGAGGACTACATGAGCCATATCATTGAGAAGTGGTAGTGGTGGCCGGGGCAGAGAGTGATGGGCAAGATTTAACGGGGAAAGAAATGGGGCCTACAGTCCTTGCTGTTTGGTGTAGAGGGGAGCGTGCTAGTAGGATACCCTAGACCTTGACGGGCAGGGTAGGACCTCTGTCTGAGGCAGGTGGCCTCCTTGCTCTCCTTGCCCCCCCCCCATGTCACACTTAAAACTGATGAAAATTTGAAAAAGACTGTCGAGGGGACAAGTCTGCTCAGCCGAGAGCCCCACACCTACTATGCACGCACTGGCCCCAATGACCAGCCCCTCTAGGAACATATGACTAGCTCCTAATAGTTCCTCTAAAGCTCCTTGGCCTCTGGGGACCCTAATAACCCAGAACCTTAGGGAGCCTTTTCCTTGAGAACACAGCGAATCTCTGAGGTGTCCTCAGACTTGGAGTTCCCCCTCTTTACCCATCAAAGCTGCTTTCAAGGTTAGGGTCAGCCCCAGCTATGGTACCTGGCTGCTGCACTCTCTGGGCCATGATCAAAATCCACAGGCCATCCTGGCTTTGGGGAGCCAGGCTCAGGCAGGAAAGAGATGGACACCGAGAGTCGTACCCCCTCCCATCCCTGTGCTTTCTGATTCACTGCCCCCAGCCCTATCACTGGGACATTTATACAAGGGCTTGTGTGCCACTGTTCCCACCATACCAGCAATCCGTAAGTCCCATGCATAAAAGCATCCATTGGCTGGGATGCAGGGCCACACCAACCGGAGTTGACAGTGAATGGCCAGGATGGGGACTTTCCCATTCTCAGCTAAGGTTGGAAGGAACAGCTCTGAATGACCTTTCGAGGGCCTGTATGCACAACCCTCCCCTCCCTGCATCTTCCTACCCTTCAGAGTCCCACCAGGCTGTTTCCAGCAGCTCCATGGGCCAGCCAGTGACCCTACTAGAAGCCATGTTGCATATCTGTTTTTAAGCACTTGCCTTGGTGCCCTACCCCTTGTGCTCTCTAGGAGGCCCTAGTGGGCCACCACTCAGTGGCGGTGTCATGACTTTTTCAGTCCATATGCATGCAGACAAGGGGTGGGTCACCACAGACAAGAGTGGGGGCCATATGTAGCATAGCAATATTCCAGATGTTGGCAGGCATAACTCCTACCCCAGAGCAATGACTTAATCTTCAATTGTGTGGTATACACTCAGGCACCAGGACTTGACCTTGGGGTCCACAGGCAAGATGAGTTCTGGTGGGCACTGTCCAGCCCAGTCCAGGGCCACCTTCATGGTGAATGATCACACTGAGGAGATGGGTAATAAGATGAGTTAGGTGGCCAAGGTCACCATGCGAGGGATTGGCTTAGATGCTCAGTTTAGAACAAATATACTTCTGAGAGGAGCGTGGGGCATATTTGGGGAGCCCTGGGGACTTTCACAGGTCATGTTGGTTGCTGCCAGCTTCTGTCAGGAAGTACCCCAGCTCTACATCTTCCTATTCTATACATATTGGAATAAGTTTTAACTTACACCCCGCCATCCTGACTCTCACGGAAGCACGGGTCACTTCTCTGTCTCTGCTGCATTTGAAAACTAGTCCCTCCCATCTCAGGCCAACGCCAGACTGAGGAATCCTCAGTCCCTCGACTGTCCACCCCTGCCTAAGGCTCAGGCCACCAGCTTTGGGGCACAGCTTCCTGGTACTCACAGCATCTCAGAACAGGGTGCTTCCCCATCCCTACAGCTCCAAGGACCCTGCCTACCCAGGGGCATCTCCTGGAGCTGAGAAGCCAAGCAAGTGCAGCAAGATAGTAACTCAGTCCCGAGGCACCTTGCTGCCCTACCGACACCCCCTCCTGGAGTGGGAAGCAGGGACCGCAGGACTGTCCAGGCAACGTGTCTGAACTGGAACTGTTCCACTTGAACCCAGGAGCTTTAAAGCTTTATTTATTTATAGCTTCTTATTAAAAAATAAAAAGTGTGGAGGAGTCTTTCGGTTATTCGTACAGAGCGATGAATTGATGGAAAAGCAACTGGTTGTCTTCTAATTGTCTTTGTCTAGGTGGAGAATGAACATTAGCAGATGAAATAAACCCTGAAAAGGTCACCGTGTGCTGTGGTCTGTGCTAATCCCTCCCAGGCATGGCAACTGCCTACATCATAGGCCTAGGGGAGGGGGCTGCTGCATAGGTGCGGGTGGCCTGGCACAAAGTGAGGTGCTGGGTAAGTAAAAACACTCAAACCACAACGGGTAGAAACATTCATCATTATTACAGCGCGTGGGCAGGTGACACCAGGTAAAAGGGGGGCTGTCACCAACAGCAGTGTCAGTACCATCTGCCACCACTTCCTCTGCTCAGCTTTAACTTGGAAATTTTTCAAATGGCAAAGGGAAAGGTGGCTCTAAGGATGTGGCTCATTTGGCAGAGTATTTGTCTAGCATGCAGGAAGCCTAGGTTTGATTCCCAGCACTCAGGAGGTAGAGGCAGGAGAATCACCTCAAGGTCATTCTTGGTGACAGCAAGTCTCAAGTCAGTTGTATAGAACCCTCTCTCAATAAAACTAAGCTTACTCTTCATTATAAGAAACTACAAGATGGGGCTGGAGAGAAGGCTCAGAGGTTAAGAGCACCGACTGCTCTTCCAAAGGTCCTGAGTTCAATTCCCAGCAACCACATGGTGGCTCACAACCATCCGTTATGAGATCTGGTGTTCTCTTCTGATGTGCAGATATACATGGAAGCAGAATGTTGTATAAAATAATAAATAAATAAAATCTTTAAAAAAAAAAAAAAAAGAAAGAAAAGAAACAAATTAATAGAAAAGATTCCAGGGGATGGAGAACTGGCTCAGGACCCGGGAGAGCACTGATTGTTCTTCCAAAGGGCCCGGTTCAATTCCAGCACCCACATAGCAACTCACAACTGCCTGTAATTCCCGTTCCAGGGGATCTGACACTCCACACAGACAGACAGACAGATGTGCTGACCACCAATGTACATTTTTTAAAAATTTAAAAAAAAAAAAGATTTCATGTTGAAAGAATGAGAACTAGCCAGGTAGTGGCGTACATGCCTTTAATCCTAATACTTGGGAGGCAGAGGCAGGTGGAGCTCAGTGAGTTTGAGGCCATCCTGGTCTGCAAAGTGAGTTCCAAGATAGCCAGGACTGTTTCACAGAGAAACCCTGTCTCCAAAAACAAAACAAAACAGAGAAAGAGCAAGAGAGCAAGAACTGTTCTAAGAGACCATCAGTTCTATGTTAGTTCCTTATCTGTTGCCAGTAACTCAACCCCATAACTGAGTTATAAAGAATAAAGGTTTGCCAGGTGTGATGACATGTATCAGTAATCCTGAAAGAAAGAAAAAGAAAGAAAGGAAGGAAGAAAGAAAGAAGGAAGGAAGGAAAGAAAAAGTGTTTGCTTTCACTTTTGGCTCCCAGTTCTGATCCAAAATAGAGGGGCTGCCTTGTGGTCGCCTTGCTGGCAGAGCCTTTTCTGCCTGAGACAGGTTACACCAAATGACAGGTGAGCCAAGCATGAGGCCGTCCCGTTTCCTACCTGGTATCCTATCCCTCAGGACATACAGGCAGGAGGATCACAGGTTCTAAGCCAGCCTAAGCTGTGTGGTGAAACCCCAGCTGGAACAACATGAAACCCTGGGAAAGTGGTTCAGTTGCCTTGCATTTGGTAGGACCTGAATTTAATCTGCAGAACCTACATTCACACAAAAGCCAGACGTGGTGGCAGTTTGACATCCCACTGCTGAGGAGACAGAGAAAGACAGCCTACTTGGTGAGTTCCAGTTCCCTGAGAGACTCTGGCTCACAACAAGAAGGATGGCACCTGAGGAATTACAGCTGGTATTACCTTCTGGGCTCCCCAAACGCGTGTGTTCGCGCACGTGCACACACACACACACACACACACACACACACACACACACACACACACACTTGCAGGTGCATGCAACACAGCATGCAACATGAAAGAGGCGCATACGCATGTGTCCTCTAATAAAGCGGTAGGACTTATGCTTGGGACTCTGCCCCGTGATCTCTAATCCTAATCGTTTCCCAAGTGTCCGTAGTCACGGAGTCCCTCTCTTACTACTTCCCACGGTGGATTAATCCATACATGGAGCCTTAGGGGACATCCCAATTATATCGAAGCCACAGCAAACCCAAAGAGTTCAATGAGGCAACATTTTATCACACCGTTCGCTCAGTATTCCGTTATCCATCTTCTACACACAGACACACACACACACACTCACACTTTCTGAAACATCAGCCCCCTCTACCCCTAAACACTTGCACCTATGTCTACTGAAATGGCATTCTGCTACAACAGGCAACCCAACTGCCATGTCCCCCAAGCGTAACCCTTATGCAGGATTGTTATATAATACATCCTTGTCCCATGAATGTCTTCAGACCCAAACACCACTTCTGTGCCTCTCCTGAATGGGTTAACTAGAGCCCACACACTCTCTGCTTCTCAGCATGCTATTGATAATCATATGTGTGAATGAAGGCACAGGAATGCCACCACACACACGTGAAGGTCAGGAAACAATCCAGGTGTTGGTCCTCACTTTCCAACCTGTTTGACACAGGGTCTTTCTGCTGGTTTTCCTCTGTCTTCATAAGGCAAGCTAGTCTGCAAGCTTTAGGGGAGTCTCCTGTTTCCAATTGCCATGTCCTAGAAGTTCTGGGATTACTGATACTAAGGTCCAGTCTTGAATTACAGATACTAAGTGTCCAGTCTTGACTTGGGTTCTGGGAATACGAACTCAGGCCCTCACACTCAATGGCAAACATCCACTGAGCCACCTCCCAGCCCCACCACTGATACTATTGACTAATATAAACCACTAACCCCTTAAAAGATTCACAAGCCACCCCCCTACATCAATTACTTAACCCTCTTGAACCTGAACAACAGACAGAGTCCTTTGCTGCTGAGCGTTGGTCCTCCCCATTGGTTTCCTACAAGGGAGGGCAGAGAGCCACAGGGACCCCAGCCATCCTGCAGAACCCCCAGGAGCTGGTAACCTGATAATGACTGGTGCCTCTCATCAAGCTAATTTGTGACAAGAACCCAGCGTCACTTCAGCCCAAGATCTCTGTCCTTGACCACTGAGTCCACACAGGGAAGGATCCACAAAAATCTTAAGAGAGTTAGGCTGGGGAGATAGCTTAGGTGCCTGCCACCCAAGTGTGAAGACCTGAGCTCTGTTCCCAGAACCCACATAAAATCCAATGCTGGGGAAATCATATTACTGGGGGGCCAGAGACAAGAGGATCCCTGGGCTCAAATGCACAGCTAGTCTTGGCCAGGCAAAACCTCCCAGTTAAATGAGACTAACATAGCAGTCCTGACAGCCTGAGTTCAATCCCCAGAGCTCACATGGTAGAAGGAAGGAAGGACTCCCAAAAGTTGTCCACACACATAGAGATGTCCATGCATGCTCACACACATTTAGAAGAAGAGGAAGAGGAAGAAGAGGAAGAGGAGGAGGAGGAGGAAGAGGAGGAAGAGGAAGAAGCAGAAGAAGCAGCAGCAGCAGCAGCAGCTGGGCATTGGTGGCGCACGCCTTTAATCCCAACACTCGGGAGGCAGAGGCAGGTGAATCTCTGCGAGTTCGAGACCACCCTGGTCTACAAGAGCTAGTTGCAGGATAGCCTCCAAAGCCACAGAGCAACCCTGTCTCAAAAAAACAAAATAAAATAAATAATCTGGAGAGCAATCAAGACATCCATGGTAGGACTGGAGGATTGGCTCAGTTGTTCCGGTCTCCCAAAGGACCTGGGTTCAATTCCCAGCTCCCACATGGCAGCTCACAGTTGTCTGTAACTCCAGTTCCAGGAGATCTGACACCCTCACACAGGCATACATGCAGCCACACCACCAATGCACATGAAATAAATAAATCAAAAAGAAAAAAAGATATCTGTGGTGGTTTGAATGAGACATCACCTCATGGATTCAGACGTTTAAATACTAGGTATCCAATGGTGTTGCTGTTTTGAGGAGGTGTGGCTTAGCTGGAGGAAGTATGTCTGTCACTTGAGGTGGGCTTTGAGAGTATAATATAGCCTTGCCTTCTGATTTGCTCTTTGCTTCATGCCTGTAGTTGAGGTTGTGATCTCTGTTTCCGGTCCTGACTGCAACGCCTGCCTGCTGCCATGCCCCCACCCCCTGCCATGATGGACTCTCAGTCCTCTGGAACCATAAACCCAAACAAACTCTTCGGTCTGTAAGTTGCTTTGGCTGTGGTATTTTGACACAACAACAGAAAAGTAACCAATCAGTATCTAACATAGACCTCTGGGCTACACACACCAAACCAAAAGGCAAGGTTTCTCGCTGCTGTTTTTAAGATAGATGTTCACTGTCTCTCACTCTGGTCAGTTTGGAACTCAGAATGTAGATCAATCACAGAGATCTGCCTGCGTCTATTCCCCCCACCCCACCCCCAGTGCTGGGATTAAAGGTGTGTGCCACTATGCCTGAAGGAGACCCCCACACAGAGGGGACTCTTAGACTCTGAATTAGGCACCAACCACACCCAAACATCCGTTTTCACAGATCTTTTTCTCCTTTTCCTTTTTCTTTTTGGTTTTTGGGGTTTTTTTTCTTTGTTTGTTTCAAAACAGGGTTTCTCTGTGTAGCCTTGGAGCCTGTCCTGGAACTCGCTCTGTAGACCAGGCTGGCCTCAAACTCACTGCCTGCCTCTGCCTCCCGAGTGCTGGGATTAAAGGAGCCACCACCGCCCAGCAAAAGATCTTTATTGAGTGCAGAAGAAAAGTTAAAGTGGCTGCTTTCTGAATCAGGAAGAAAAACAGCAGCAAATGGCCTTGCAGGTGTGGTTTTTAGTAACAGAAAAGCCAAGGTCTGTGTTAGAAGGGGCTAGGACGCAGTGGAATGTGTTTGACTGGGCATGTTAATTAGGTGAGCCAAAGGAGGCTTCTGATTGGGGGATATTAATAGTTTAGAGCTGGACCTTGTTAGTCAGCCCGAGAGGGAGGAAGTGCCAAATAAAGAATGGACCTCATGGGCTGGCTTCAGGAATATAATCTAGGTTTTAGCAAAAGCGAAGGGAAC